GTACATGTCACAGGGGCTTGTAACGTTAGTATACAAGTAGACCTGGTACATGTCACAGGGGCTTGTAACGTTAGTATACAAGTAGACCTGGTACATGTCACAGGGCGTGTAACGTTAGTATACAGGTGCAATAGACCAAGTACATGTCACAGGGGCGTGTAACGTTAGTATACAAGTAGACCTGGTACATGTCACAGGGGCTTGTAACGTTAGTATACAAGTAGACCTGGTACATGTCACAGGGGCTTGTAACGTTAGTATACAATCAGACCTGGTACATGTCACAGGGGCTTGTAACGTTAGTATACAAGTAGACCTGGTACATGTACAGGGGCTTGTAACGTTAGTATACAAGTAGACCTGGTACATGTCACAGGGGCGTGTAACGTTAGTATACAAGTAGACCTGGTACATGTCACAGGGCTTGTAACGTTAGTATACAAGTAGACCTGGTACATGTCTGAGGCTTGTAACGTTAGTATACAAATAGACCTGGTACATGTCACAGGGGGCTTGTAACGTTAGTATACAAGTAGACCTGGTATGACATTCACAGGGGCTTGTAACGTTAGTATACAAGTAGACCTGGTACATGTCACAGTATAAACGTTAGTATACAAGCAGACCTGGTACATGTCACAGAGAACTTGTAACGTTAGTATACAAGTAAGACCTGGTACATGTCACAGGCTATGTAACAATTATATATAACGTTAGTATCACAAAGCAGACACGAGAACATGTCACATGGCTTGTAACGTTAGTATACTCATAGACCTGGTACATGTCACAGGGGCTTGTAACGTTAGTATACAAGTGAACCTGGTACACGTACACTTGTAACGTTAGTATACAAGTAGACCTGGTACATGTCACAGGGGCTTGTAACGTTAGTATACAAGTAGACCTGGTACATGTCACAGGGGCTTGTAACGTTAGTATACAAGTAGACCTGGTACATGTCACAGGGGCTTGTAACGTTAGTATACAAGGTAGACCTGGTACATGTCACAGGGAGCTTGTAACGTTAGTATACAAGTAGACCTGGTACATGTCACAGGGGCTTGTAACGTTAGTATACAAGTAGACCTGGTACATGTCACAGGGGCTTGTAACGTTAGTATACAAGTAGACCTGGTACATGTCACAGGGGCTTGTAACGTTAGTATACAAGTAGACCTGGTACATGTCACAGGGGCTTGTAACGTTAGTATACAAGTAGACCTGGTACATGTCACAGGGGCTTGTAACGTTAGTATAGTAGACCTGGTACATGTCACAGGGGCTTGTAACGTTAGTATACAAGTAGACCTGGTACATGTCACAGGGGCTTGTAACGTTAGTATACAGGTAGACCTGGTACATGTCACAGGGGCTTGTAACGTTAGTATACAAGTAGACCTGGTACATGTCACAGGGGCTTGTAACGTTAGTATACAAGTAGACCTGGTACATGTCACAGGGGCTTGTAACGTTAGTATACAAGTAGACCTGGTACATGTCACAGGGGCTTGTAACGTTAGTATACAAAGTAGACCTGGTACATGTCACAGGGGCTTGTAACGTTAGTATACAAGTAGACCTGGTACATGTCACAGGGGCTTGTAACGTTAGTATACAAGTAGACCTGGTACATGTCACAGGGGCTTGTAACGTTAGTATACAGGTAGACCTGGTACATGTCACAGGGCTTGTAACGTTAGTATACAAGTAGACCTGGTACATGTCACAGGGGCTTGTAACGTTAGTATACAAGTAGACCTGGTACATGTCACAGGGCTTGTAACGTTAGTATACAAGTAGACCTGGTACATGTCACAGGGGGCTTGTAACGTTAGTATACAAGTAGACCTGGTACATGTCACAGGGGGCTTGTAACGTTAGTATACAAGTAGACCTGGTACATGCTCACAGGGGGCTTGTAACGTTAGTATACAAGTAGACCTGGTACATGTCACAGGGGCTTGTAACGTTAGTATACAGGCAGACCTAAAGCTCTTCGGTTACATGTCACAGGGGCTTCAGTAACGTTAGTATACAATTCACAGACCTGGTACATGTCACAGGGGAGTGTAACGTTAGTATAAGTAGACCTGGTACATGTCACAGGGGCTTGTAACGTTAGTATACAAGCAGACCTGGTACATGTCACAGGGGCTTGTAACGTTAGTATACAGTAGACCTGGTACCTGTCACAGGGGCTTGTAACGTTAGTATACAGGTAGACCTGGTACATGTCACAGGGGTATGTAACGTTACCTGTACCAAGACCTGGAACCATGTCACAGGGGCTGTAACGTTAGTATACAAGTAGACCTGGTACATGTCACAGGGGTTGTAACGTTGAAGTATACATTTTAGACTCTGGTACGAAATCACAGGGGCTTGGCGTTACGTTATTATTGGGAATTCAAGCAGAGCTGTGCAAACATGTCACAGGGGCTTGTAACGTTAGTATACAAGCAGACCTGGTACATGTCACAGGGGCTTGTAACGTTAGTATACAAGTAGACCTGGTACATGTCACAGGGTCTATGTAACGTTAGTATACAAGTAGACCTGGTACATGTCACAGGGCTGTAACGTTAGTATACAGGTAGACCTGGTACATGTCACAGGGGCTTGTAACGTTAGTATACAGGTGTAGACCTGGTACATGTCACAGGTTTGTAACGTTAGTATACAAGTAGACCTGGTACATGTCACAGGGGCTAGTAACGTTAAAGTAGTACACAAGTAGACCTGGTATGATGTCACAGGACTTGTAACGTTAGTATACAAGTAGACCTGGTACATGTCACAGGGCTTGTAACGTTAGTATACAAGTAGACCTGGTACATGTCACAGGGGCTTGTAACGTTAGTATACAAGTAGACCTGGTACATGTCACAGGGCTTGTAACGTTAGTATACAAGTAGACCTGGTACATGTCACAGGGGGCTTGTAACGTTAGTATACAAGTAGACCTGGTACATGTCACAGGGGCTTGTAACGTTAGTATACAAGTAGACCTGGTACATGTCACAGGGGCTTGTAACGTTAGTATACAAGTAGACCTGGTACATGTCACAGGGGCTTGTAACGTTAGTATACAAGTAGACCTGGTACATGTCACAGGGGCTTGTAACGTTAGTAATATACAAGTAGACCTGGTACATGTCACAGGGGCTTGTAACGTTAGTATACAAGCAGACCTGGTACATGTCACAGGGCTTGTAACGTTAGTATACAAGTAGACCTGGTACATGTCACAGGGGCTTGTAACGTTAGTATACAAGGTAGACCTGGTACATGTCACAGGGGCTTGTAACGTTAGTATACAAGCAGACCTGGTACATGTCACAGGGGGCTTGTAACGTTAGTATACAAGTAGACCTGGTACATGTCACAGGGGCTTGTAACGTTAGTATACAAGTAGACCTGGTACATGTCACAGGGGCTTGTAACGTTAGTATACAAGTAGACCTGGTACATGTCACAGGCTTGTAACGTTAGTATACAAGCAGACCTGGTACATGTCACAGGGGCTTGTAACGTTAGTATACAAGTAGACCTGGTACATGTCACAGGGGCTTGTAACGTTAGTATACAAGTAGACCTGGTACATCTGGTACATGTCACAGGGGCTTGTAACGTTAGTATACAAGTAGACCTGGTACATGTCACAGGGCTTGTAACGTTAGTATACAGGTAGACCTGGTACATGTCACAGGGGCTTGTAACGTTAGTATACAAGTAGACCTGGTACATGTCACAGGGGCTTGTAACGTTAGTATACAAGTAGACCTGGTACATGTCACAGGGGCTTGTAACGTTAGTATACAAGTAGACCTGGTACATGTCACAGGGGCTTGTAACGTGTGTATACAAGTAGACCTGGTACATGTCATAGGCTTGTAACGTTAGTATACAGTGCAGACCCTGGTACCCATCACAGGGGCTTGTAAGGTTAGTATACATCAGACGATAGGTGTATTTGTAACAGTGAGCTGATTCCCCATGGTAAACTCTTCGGTTGTAATATTCTACCTAAATTATTTCATCAAGTCAGTATGTCTACTTGACCTGTTCCAAACCCGGAACCATTCACAGGGAGGAAATAGTCGTGAGTATTAAACGATGACATAACATAGTTTAGCAATATATATATGGGTACTATGATGAAACATTTTAGACTCTGCTCACGAAACATAGTGAAACATGTAGCGGACGAAGGCAATTGGGCATTCTCACCAGAGCTGTGTACATGTCACAGGGGCTTGTAACGTTAGTATACAAGTAGACCTGGTACCTGTCACAGGGGCTTGTAACGTTAGTATACAGGTAGACCTGGTACATGTCACAGGGTCTAGTAACGTTAGTATACAGGTAGACCTGGTACATGTCACAGGGGCTGTAAAGTTAGTATACAAGTAGACCTGGTACATGTCACAGGGACTTGTAACGTTAGTATACAAGTAGACCTGGTACATGTCACAGGGGCTTGTAACGTTAGTATACAGGTAGACCTGGTACATCTCACAGGGGCTTGTAACGCTAGTATACAAGTAGACCTGGTACATGTCACAGGGGCTTGTAACGTTAGTATACAGGTAGACCTGGTACATGTCACAGGGGCTTGTAACGTTAGTATACAAGTAGACCTGGTACATGTCACAGGGGCTTGTAACGTTAGTATACAAGTAGACCTGGTACATGTCACAGGGGCTTGTAGGGTTAGTATACATCAGACGATAGGTGTATTTGTAACAGTGAGCTGATTCCCCATGGTAAACTCTTCGGTTGTAATATTCTACCTAAATTATTTCATCAAGTCAGTATGTCTACTTGACCTGTTCCAAACCCGGAACCATTCACAGGGAGAAAATACTCGTGAGTATTAAACGATGACATAACATAGTTTAGCAATATTTATATGGGTACTATGATGAAACATTTTAGACTCTGCTCACGAAACATAGTGAAACATGTAGCGGACGAAGGCAATTGGGCATTCTCACCAGAGCTGTGTACAAGGTGGCAACGATCCCTACGGACAGCACAGACCCCCACAGGCTTAGGCCAGTTACTGGAACATAACACAGGTGTAACACAACATCCAGACCCCCACAGGCTGAGTGCAGTTGCTGGGACATAACACAGGTGGGTAACACAACATACAGACCCCCACAGGCTGAGTCCAGTTGCTGGAACATAACACAGGTGTAACACAACATACAGACCCCCACAGCCTGACTCCAGTTCCTGGAACATAACACAGGTGTAACACAACATACTGACCCCCACAGGCTGAGTCCAGTTGCTGGAACATAACACAGGTGTGTAACACAACATACTGACCCCACAGGCTGAGTCCCGTTCCTGGGACATAACACAGGTGGGTAACAGAACATACAGACCCCCACAGGCTGAGTCCAGTTGCTGGAACATAACACAGGTGTAACACAACATACACACACCCACATGCTGAGTCCAGCTCCTGGGACATAACACAGGTGTAACACAACATACTGACCCCCACAGCCTGACTCCAGTTCCTGGAACATAACACAGGTGTAACACAACATCCAGACCCCCACAGGCTGAGTCCAGTTGCTGGAACATAACACAGGTGTGTAACACAACATACTGACCCCACAGGCTGAGTCCCGTTCCTGGGACATAACACAGGTGGGTAACAGAACATACAGACCCCCACAGGCTGAGTCCAGTTGCTGGAACATAACACAGGTGTAACACAACATACACACACCCACATGCTGAGTCCAGCTCCTGGGACATAACACAGGTGTAACACAACATACTGACCCCCACAGCCTGACTCCAGTTCCTGGAACATAACACAGGTGTAACACAACATCCAGACCCCCACAGGCTGAGGCCAGTTGCTGGAACATAAGACAGGTGTAACACAACATACTGACCCCCACAGGCTGAGGCCAGTTGCTGGAACATAACACAGGTGTAACACAACATACAGACCCCCACAGGCTGAGTCCAGTTCCTGGAACATAACACAGGTGTAACACAACATACAGACCCCCGCAGGCTGAGGTCAGTTGCTGGAACATAACACAGGTGTAACACAACATACAGACCCCAACAGGCTAAGTCCAGTTGCTGGAACATAACACAGGTGTAACACAACATACACACACCCACAGGCTGAGTCCAGTTCCTGGAACACAACACAGGTGTAACACAACATACAGACCCCCACAGGCTGAGGCCAGTTGCTGGAACATAACACAGGTGGGTAACACAACATACAGACCCCACAGGCTGAGTCCAGTTGCTGGAACATAACACAGGTGTAACACAACATACAGACCCCCACAGGCTGAGTCCAGTTGCTGGAACATAACACAGGTGTAACACAACATACAGAGTAAGTGTAGTATGTGAAATTTACAGGATGTCGTTAACAGAGGAGACTTACCCGCACTGAGCGCCAGGCAGGGAGCGTACAGAACGAAGGACATATACAGCATCTGCAACATGCATTGTTATGGTGATGTCGCTGATTACAGAGTACTCGCCTATCTAACAAGCTTTATGCATACATGAACATCTGCCAAGTGTTCTCTCGATACTAGATGCACCATCACCCACATGCGAGCCTCTAGCAATACAATTCAACATGTTATCCTCTAGGAATACAATTAATTCTCTCATACCAACACAAGAGCCTCTAGCAATACGAAGCTCTCATACCAATATGCTAGCCTCTAGCAATTCAATTCTCTCATATCAACATACGAACCTCCAGCAATACAATTCTCTCATACTAACATATGGGCCTCTAGAAATACAATCCTGTTATACTAAAATATGAGCCTCCAGCAATACAATTCTCTCATACGAACATGCGAGGCTGCACAAGTGCAATTCTCTCACATCAACATACAAACCTCCAGCAATACCATTCTCTCATACTAACATCTGAGCCTCTAGCAATACAATTCTCTCATACTTACATATGAGCCTCTAGCAATACAATTCTGTTATACTAAAATATGAGCCTTCAGCAATACAATTCTCTCATACCAACATGCGAGGCTGCACAAGTGCAATTCTCTCACATCAACATACAAACCTCCAGCAATACCATTCTCTCATACTAACATCTGAGCCTCTAGCAATACAATTCTCGCATACTAACATATGAGCCTCTAGCAATACAATTCTCTCATACTAACATGCGTTAGTCAACTGACTCCCCATCTTTCATTATAAGTTCACAAAGAGAGCTGAGCTGGTTGACCAACAGTGTTTGATTCCTCATGTAGAATACCTCATATAAAATACCTACTATTTGAATAACGAACAGCAGGGAGACGATGAAGCGCACGCTTTTGTCAAAGCGCATCTCCAAGTACTGCAATTGAAAATACAATCAATATACGTAAGGTACATAGCTCAGAGCCACTAAGAGAACGAACATTGTTACAGTATAAATGGCCTGCTAGAACTTACAGAACGAACATTGTTACAATATAGATGGCCTGTTCTCTTACGACGCAATGCTTGTATACAATTGTTCTGCATGGTGCATTCATGTTGGTGTCAATTACTCTTCAATAAAAAGAGTGGCCTTTGAATTCGGTTTTTGACGAAATGAAGTCAGAAATGATTTTAGAGATAGTATTAATAAGCTCAGAAAAACCCAGGTATGTCTTGCCTCAAACACGCTGGTCGTTCCGAGTCTGTAGAAGAATGGTATGAATATCCGGACCGCTCCCAGCGTGGCCACCACAAAACCCAGGCAGATCCACCAGAACATGGAATTGTAGGCATACACCTCAGATGGAGTCCCCAAAATAGTCAACGCTGAAAGAAACGTCACCAACAGCGACATGGCGATGGGGAAGACGTTCATCTTCCGTCCTCCCAACAAAAACTCGTTAGTTGATACATTGTTGCGATCTTTGATGGCGTAAAAAAAGCCGATACCAGCGGACACCGACAGTGTTGCCGCAAGAACGACGTAGTCAGCCGTGTGGAAGGTGCTGGTGTGGCCGGTAAGGATGCTGTAACCGTCCCCGCTCATCATGTCCGGCTAACTGTTGTGACTGCTTGGCGCTACTGCAGTCCGACGACAGTAGTTAACGCTGTGTTAGTGTCATGGGAGAGATGTGTCACTGATAACATTGTTTAATATCGCAAAATGTTAATGTAGAAAAAATGAATATATATACTGTATCTGAAGTAATTGACCATGCTTTATCTGAAGAAGATACGACTATCTATACATTGAAACATTACCATACGACTCACTGCATCTGAGACTGATAACAGCTGCCGGTCATGTTTGCTGGAGGGATACTCAGATGTGCTGAAATCTACCTTACAGAAATGTTTGTTGTCATTTTGGCTTTGGGCCCTTCAGTCAGACATTCTGTGGTGCGGTGTTGTTTTTTCTTAGACAGGGAGTGAGAAAGCTGAGATGAAACGCCGATATGAACAGCATTTGCAGGTATGCAGGTGTCAGATGTCTGCCACGGGTACAGTGGTAGTCAACATAGACACATGTATACAAGAGGCGAAGCGGGATTCGAACCCACAACATAGGCTTCTCTCCTTGTCAAAGGACTCCGTTCTGCACTGCGAATTCGGCCACCCTTAACACCTGATCTTAAAAAGAAATCATAAAACATTGGGCACAAGCACACAGAGCCAGCACATACACTCGCACCTACCAATGATTACACGTTCTCGAAGAGGGCTTATATATATACAGCTAGATACCTCGTTTGTAACACCAACCGAGTAATTCAGAAAATACATACTTGTCTCACTGACATTCCTACAGCTCTGTTGCCATCATAGCAAATATGGTCAAATACTTCGCCCTCTCTTTTGACTCTACCACAGGTGATCAGCAACAGAGTAATGTCCGCTATGTAGCAGCCACCGTAGGTCTGCGCTGGAGTGGGTTAAGAAGGAAGTAAATAGCGAGGAATTGCTATGAACAAGGAAAAGAGGGGGGTTCCCGTTTTGACGGACGATTTTGTTCTAGACAAAAATTCATTGATGCGCGATAATCCTTAAAACAAGGGGATTAACTTATAGTCTTTTTCGGCTATATGTACACACTATAACTTCACCTCGATGTTTTCATTTCATCAATTCAACATTTTTGTGTATTTTCTCTTCATGATAAAATTAATAAATACACATTTCGTACATTTTCAGAAAATGAGAAAATTGTAACTGAAGACATATAAATAAATATGCATAAATAATTTTTCATAAATATGCATAAAGAATTTTGTTCATAAATATGCATAAAGAATTTTGTTCATAAATATACATAAATAATAATTATTCCAACACAGGGACACCAACTAGGTCTGAGACAAGATCCCCTTGAATTAGAATGAACTGAATTTTGCAATGAGGGAACCATGTATCAGAGGCAAGAATCATGGATCGGTCCCCATATTAGGGAACCCGAATTGGCGACATGAGTCACCCCTCCCCCATCGGTCAAGAATCCGATGGGGGGAGACATAACCCTGGCGAAAGACACAAACTGACCACAGGGACCTACACCAAACATGGAATCGGGGAAAAGACGGATACGGGCAAGGAATGTCAGCTATGTCAATTAATAGATGGTATAAATGATTGTGAACCAGCAGTGCTGGGCAGTTCGGACTGAAACTCAGAGTTCAGAACCACCCCTTGTAACTAGACCAGAATAAATCGTGTGGACCCCAAGACGGACTTGTGTGCTGATTAGAGTCATATCCCCCAGAGCATCAACATACTGAGGCGGATATATGTCTACATTCTTTATATACAGGCATAATGGCAGAAATAATCATTTGAATAAGTTTCACTCAATTTAGCTGATATAATTCGAGTTCACTCAAATTAGTTACTAGAAATCGAGTTCACCCAAAACAAATTGGTGCCATGTAATTATTGAGTTCGAACTCTGCCAAACGCCCATTTCCCCCAAATGAGACTATGGGTGACAACTACCCACTGAAAACAGACTATAGCCAGCAAACTAGCGGACCGTTACTCTTAAACCGTTATCATCACATCAGCTGTCCCGCAAAGTGGGGTATGACCGGAAAACATTCTCCTGTCTGATGGTTATTGTCCAGCAGTGGAACCCCTATAACCCGGCTGGTATTCTCACAGCGAACACTTAAAGCCTACTTCAATCTTAAATGCAGGCAGTCCATGACAAATGAGTGCACAATGGGGATTAACTATAGTCTGTTTTATTCATTCACACATGTTATACACATTAATTAACCACTAGCTTTAACCGGGGCTTCTCACCACATTCCGAGTCAAGAGTGATCCGTTTGTTTGGACAAGTTAAGCAAACACTGTTGCCGGCTGAGGATGGCGGTTTGTATAACAATCTCATCGTCACCAACGTTTTGGCACCATACAGCGAGACGGATAGCGACAACATTATGTGATAGGTGGTGTCGCACTTTCTGACTCACAGTGATGCTACAATTAAAAACAACAACAAGGAGAGTTCTATGGATATACACCTTCTTTAATATGATATGAGCGACGTTTCGGTGTAGCTACTAACACCGTTATCAAGCAAATGATGTACAATACTAGATGCAAGGTATATTTATATACATGGTAAAGTTGAACAGTAAGTGATGATGTTTACACAATTAATGAGGTAGATGTACAGGGTGGTGGATGTTTACACAAGGGGCCAATAGTTACACAAACATAGTAAGCTATGGGGGATGGGGGTAAGCCAGTGATATGACAGACAGGAGAATAATAGGATTAAGATTGTTTGGTGATGAGTTGGTTGATGGCCATCTCTGACCACACCCAAGCTCACCCAGACCACAACATCCTATGGAACAGCATCAATGTACTCACCAGCAATCACACCCACTTCAAGATAAGAAAGCTACTAGAAGCCATTCACATCAAGAGACTCCAACCGGCCATGAACAGAGACCAAGGATATTACATCCCCACTGCCTACAACCAACTCATCACCAAGCAATCTTAATCCTATTATTCTCCTGTCTGTCATATCACTGGCTTCCCCCCCCATCCCCCATAGCTTACTATGTTTGTGTAACTATTGGCCCCTTGTGTAAACATCCACCACCCTGTACATCTACCTCATTAATTGTGTAAACATCATCACTTACTGTTCAACTTTACCATGTATATAAATATACCTTGCATCTAGTATTGTACATCATTTGCTTGATAACGGTGTTAGTAGCTACACCGAAACGTCGCTCATATCATATTAAAGAAGGTGTATATCCATAGAACTCTCCTTGTTGTTCATCATACCACCTTCTAAATGCCACTTAAACAAGTTAATTAAAAAACAAAATACGTCTACGAGAAGCGTTGGTAAAGTTGTAAATTTATGGCTTAGGCATGTGTACTTTTCGTTGGTTTTTTGTTTTCGGTTAAAGGTGTACTCGGCAATATTCCATATGGCGACAGCCTCTGTCTTATCTAGTGTGACTCATCTAGTCTGGATCAGGCAATCCGGTGATTGACAGCATAAGCATCGCAATTGGTATGCCACGACATCGATCGACCAAGTCAGCGAGCATGACTACTCGACCCCGTAAGTTTCGTCTGTCGACAAGCAAGTGTTGTTAAGAGTTGGTTGTAACCCAGGGTGCCGATCAACGAAGGGACAAAACAGGGAGTTGCACTGGGTGTCACGTTTGTCACTGATATACGTACCTCTTACGTGTCTGAATAAGATACTTTTTAAAAGATTTACTAGGGCCTTGAAGTTACTATGTCCAAGACAAGACAAGAGTCGTATTGCGGTCTTTGAACTCTTTGTAGAAAGAGTATGTTCAATTCTCCCTCACAAGTTGTGAAATACAGACACCAAAACCTCCACGTTACGTTGATGACACATCATCAAGTCCACCTCGCTACAGTCTCTGACAGTGTCCACTGCAACACACGCATCAAGTCCACCCCGCCACAGTCTCTGACAGTGTCCACTGCAACACACACATCAAGTCCACCCCGCCACAGTCTCTGACAGTGTCCACTGCAACACACACATCAAGCAGTGGATGTATACGAAGGAGCCAGTATAGCTGGTCGAGGTTCATCAACAGACTCTACGGGTTGTAAGGCACGGCAGGGGTGAGCCAAACAAGCTGAGCCACTAACTCGGTGTATGTATCACAACATACGTGCCCCCTGCTTTCCAGTCAGCACTCACCTTCATTCTGGCGGACCATATGTCATGCTAATACACTAGTGCTCAAAAGAACGTATACCGTGTGTTTGCACAAATCAACAAGGCGGTTCTTTCGGCAATACGTCATCACATGTTGAATCAATAGTGAGTGTAACCAGAGACCATATAATAGATCATATGGTCTCTGGTGTGACCACCATCATAAAGTAACTGTGCATTATTTGACGTTATGCCATTTTTAACGCAAAAAGAAAATAACATGATTTGTGGTGATTTACATAATCACTCTTTAACTACTGACAGGATAATATCGAAATCTGTATGAGTTGACACACCCAAAACATCGTGACACACCCTTGAAGAGATGTGGTGTGAATTGTCAGTTTACAAATTCAGTATCGTGTGTGTCCACCATAGGGGTTGATGCAGGCTTGACAACGACGACACATAGATGATATATACTAAGCAGCAAAAAAAACCATCAGTACGAATTCAAAATTAGATAGGCACTGTAATCAAATCATTACAGAAATGGACATAATAAGCGGATCAAAACCATTTTGATGTACAGTATCTTGACACATCAATGAATAAGCACAGTTTCAAGACATTACGTGAACGTTTGCAGTCCATTCAGACTCTTGACTTCAGTATCTAGTGTGACCACCACGAGCGACAATAACTGCAGCACAGCGTCTATGCATGAAGTGCACCAATCGATTGATGAAGGCCATTGACACCTGGAACCACACTCTGAAAAAGGCCTGGTGCAATAAATCGTCTGCGTTCGGCCTTGGTATGACATTATTCAGTCTCCTCTGTATTTCATCCCAAAGATGTTCAATTGGGTTTAAATCAGGACTAAGGGCTGGACACTGCATAATGTTGACACCGTTCTGCTGTAGGAGGTCCCGT